ATCGCCGAGTCGAACACGATCGTCGAGTCGAACACGATCGTCGAGTCGAAACCGATCGTCAAGTCGAAATCGATCGTCGAAACTGATCGTTAAGTCGAGCACAACAGTCGAGTTCGATGCACCGATCATGTTCGAYACGACGATGGTCTTCGACTCRACGATCGTGTTCGACTGGACGATCGTGTTCGGCWCGACGACCTTTTTCGGTGGTCGTGTTCCACGTGGTAGTCGTGTTCGACGCAGTGGTCGTGTTCGACACGACGATCGTGTCCGAAAYGACGTGACGATCGTGTTCGGCACGATGGTGRTGTTCGAGACCACGAYCGGTTTCGACTCGACGATCGTGTTCGACTTGACGATCGTGTTCGACACCACAATCGTGTTCGACTCGATGATCGTGTTCGGCACGACGACCTTGTTAGGTGGTCGTGTTCCACGTGGTGGTCGTGTTYGACACGGCGGTCGTGTTCAGCACGACGATCGTGTCCGAAATGATGTGACGGTCGTATTCGGCACGACGGTGGTGTTYGAGACGACGATCGGTTTCGACTCGACGATCGTGTTCGACTCCAAGATCGTGTTTGACACGACGATCGTCTTCGACTCGACGATCGTTTTTGGCACGACGACCTTGTTCAGTGGTCGTGTTCAACGTGGCGGTCGTGTTTGACGCGGCGGTCGTGTTCGACACGACGGTCTTGTTCGACACGATGATCGTGTTCGACACGACGATCGTGTCCGGAACGACGATGATTGTGTTCGGCACAACGGTGGTGTTCGAGACGACGATCGGGCGGTGAGGTCGGATCGAACTTGACGATGGAGCGAATTGTCTTCTCGAAAGTCCAGCCACAGTGTGGTGGCGTCAAGTCGGACACGATCGTCGTCCTTAATGCTAGTCGTGTCGAACACGATCGTAATGCTGAACACGACCGTCGTGTTGAACACGAGGACCGACGACTTTGTTGAGTTCATCCGTCTGCGTCCAAGTGGTTCTTTCTCTCCGTCTGCTGTGCCCTAGGTTGTTTGTGTCGTGTGCAGGAAGACGTCGATTGTGTGCATGGATTGTGTGCATGGCCGGCCTGTGCAGTGCAATGTTGTGCGACCTTGATTGTTTGCATTGGTAGGGCGATGGCAATTGTTCTCTACTGTTGTTGATCGTTGCACTTATGCCATGTCGTGCGCTTCACTATCGCGATGGAGATCTCTCACTAGATGACCCCAACAGTTTGGCGTGAACGAAAGGCACAACCTTTCTCACCTTGCGTGCTACACGTCCGACGATGTATGGGCCGCACAACCTGCCAACGACGCTAGTATGGCAGACTTCGAGTCAGATCCTTGGATGACAGTCGTYCCGTTTATCGACAAACATTTGGACTTCGGGGAAGAGTATCAGTGGGGGAACATGATGGCGGCGTGCTCGTGGGCGGACGATGATGAGTTCGCCAATATGTTGGAATTTGGAAAACATATTGTTGTGCCGTCCGATGTGTTGGGTCCCGTGCATTTGCGTCAGTTGTGTAAGAAGTTGAAACTGAACCACCTTTACAGTGTTCTAGATTGCGAATACGTGATAGCCTCACCGCGCACATGGTGCCGTATTATGAAGCAGGAGTTACTCAACTGTGTTGGACATTTCCAGTTCCTCGATCAGTATCCATTGCGATCTCTGGGTTTGTCGCCTCAAGCAGTATCATATTGTTGTGTGAGATTGCGTCTGGGATGCTTCATCTTCTATAGGGTCTTCTGCATTGCCTGTTCAAACAAGGCAAGGAACTTGACAGACGTTGTCGTGTATGTGTTCAAGAACGAGTTATCTATGTCCGGAAGGGATATGAGTTTAGTTCAAAGAGAAGTCGATGAGAAACTGGATATCGTGGTCGGTGGCAAGGTGGAGGACGTCGGCRCTTGGCGCGAGGTCGAGACAAAAGTGGTTTCTATTCGGGATGCTWTAGGCAGTTCTCTSGTCTGAAACTCCGGCTTCGTACGCATGAAATTCATTTCTGTGTTTGATGAGAAGGCCACCGCCAACGAACCGCAACAACTGACCTTTGGATCGACACTTGGCATATTGGATGGCTGCAACAACAGCAGAGTTCCCCGTGGTCGTTAGACGTCCTTCGTCGATCTCCTTGGTCGTTAGATGTTTTCCGAGGTGTGATGCTTTCGCAATTTGTCGACGTTGTCGTCGTCGCTAGGTGTTCTTCGTCGTTCCCCTATATGCTTTCGCGATTTGTCGGTTCTGTCGTCGTCGTGGTTGGCATTGTCCACACTAGTTGTTCTTCGGTTCTTCTGTTTGTCCCGCGCTTYCGGCGCTGGTTCTTCGGTTCTTCTGTTTGTTCGACGCTTCCGGTGCCGGCACTTGGGGAGCGCCGTGTTTTTCGATGAGATGAGACCGCTGTTGGGAACTTTTTTTCTCGTTCTGCATTGAGCGAAAAATACGCAGTGTCTGATTGTTGTCCTCATGTTGTGTTTTCTTGTCCTCGTCACATTTTTCAATATCTTGAGATCCGGAAACGAAGACACATGAACGAAGACACATATTTTTGTGTGTTTTTGTGTTTGTGTTTCTGTGTGATACTGTGTTGTGTGTGTGTGTGTGTGTGTCTGTTTTTTTTTTTATATTTATTTTTATGTTTTTTATTTATTTATTAATACATGAATTTCAAAAAAAAAATAAAAAAATGTTATTGTATGTCTTTGAAATATCTAAAACCCCATAATTTTTTTATTTTTTTTTCTGCCTTGTTTTCAGCCCTAGAAACATCTCTGTGAATTTATGTGAAAAAAAAAAAAAACACTCATTTGAGTCATTTCGTCTTTTTTTTCTTTTTTTTTTTAATGTTGTTGATGTTTTTCATTTTAAAAAAATAGTTACAAAGCTCAAAAAGTAAAAAATAAAAATATGAGGACAACCCCATATTTTTTGTTTTGTTTTTTCATAATTTTTAGCCCGCGAAAAAAATCATCACGTGTCCCCGTGAAACCCGTTGTTTCACTGTTTAAACCAGCGTTGTCACGCGGGGATCCCCGGGGCCCAAGCCGGGGTAGGGATTTCAACCCCGGAACCCCGCCGCGGGGCTACCCGACCCCCGCCCCCGCAAAAACAACCCCGGCCCTGCCCCAACCCCGCCACCCCCGCTCCCAGCCCA